ATGCTTATGAAGTTTGGATAACAGGTGGTACAATGTGTTTGATAAATGGTACTTGCATAAACTACATTAAAAATAATCATTTTATTGGCTATTGCAAAGTAATTAATTATAATGATATACAAGTTGTTGACTGGTGGTTTATTGTCAGGGGTTTCCAGCATTACAAATTTCTTAGCATTTCTATGGCATATATCATTTCTTCATTTTGGTATATTAATATGAAGTATCCTCAAAACATACATTCAACTATTTCACCAATTCGGTTCACTATCCCTGAAACAATGTGGCATGGTGTCTGCAAGGTAATATTACATTATGTCTTAAAATGTCATGTATTCCTAATGAGCTATTTTTCTAAAACACAGAAGACTTCAAACAGCATATTTTAAAGTGACATTATGCCATAAAAACTCAGGAAAGCATCAGTGCTATAAGCAAATGATTAACAATATGTTAATTCAGTAACAGAAGATCAAATGTCAAAATGAAATAAAAGTGAACAAATAAAGAAGACACCTAAGGCATGCTATGCTAATTCATATTTCTAGAAACCTTGTGTCACAAAGTATTTGCATTCGTGAAATTAGTGTAAGAAGTATTTTTATATGTTCATAAATATTATGGCATACCAATAACATCCTTTCATGTGTAAAGAATTCCTACTGTTAAAATAAAAAAATAAAGTATTAGAAATTAAAGTAAAGCAAAATTTCAAGCAATACTTTTATCTATGTGAACAGTATGCTTCCTTCACCTAAGGACTGGAAAAGGTGAAATATAGTCTCCCACAACAGTAGGTACTATATCAAACATAAACATCACAACTTCAAGATTATAGAGAGAAATGCTTCATGGCCAGCAACTCTCTGGTACCAGTGAAATCAGTGCTGCAGATAGTGGTAACCACCACATTATACCAACCAACAAGTTCTGAGATCAAAATAATATATTTTCTCTACCAGTTACTATTCTATCAATGTATTATCTTGCCTTATTATGCCTATCCTTAAATTTCTAAGTCATTTTGCAACTTATATCAAAGAAAAACATATAGCTTGCAACTCTGAGAAGCTATGAGGAAAATGATATCCACAAGGTATTTATTATCAATATGACCATAATACTTTTCCTTCGACAGTATAAACAAAACATCTACTTTAAAATATATATGTGTGTATATGTATTTCTTACACATTTTCAAGCCTAAAACTTAAATGAACAAATGAATTTTGTCCATATCAAAACAAAAATGGTGCAATGCAGTCCCTTCACTGAAAGAATTTTAACTTAGTCTGGTTTTTTTTTCAGTTAAAAAATATAAATGGGTAAAAGATTTTCTCATTTTTTTTTAAAAAAAATCACCTAAATTTGATATTACTAAAGTCATAAATTGAAGAATCTAGAAACAACATATTCACACTTTAACTTAAGCAACATAAAAGGAAATACTTTATATTAAAATGATTCACTTTTATAAACATATATACTAGAACAATATAGAACACACAGGAGTAGATTCCAACATTATAGTAACAGAGTACTATTTGATTGACATATGGGATGTCCCCAGTGTCACAGAACAGAAACAGATCAAGTATGAGGTGTTCTAATATTCAAGGCACACATGAAAATATTTATACATTCTTTATTATTCCCAACCAAAAATGGATGAATTCATAAGTTTCTTTAATAACAAACTTAAACCTTGTATTAACTTTTAACAGATAAAATCAGTCTATTAATTAAAATAAAACATCTTCAGATGGCAGGCAAAAGAAGTAAAATATTACACTAACCACCCTTCTGAATGTAGACAGTAATTCAGCTTCTATAGCAATAAAGCTGCTTTTTACCACAAGCAGCTCTAGGTAACCTACTTATAAAGGAATACATAAATAAGTCAAATTATATTCTTTAATCGAGTTAGAAAAAAAGCTACATTTCTAAGCCACCAATGAAAAGTCTGTATCCTGTAAGATTAAGTCTTAAGAAATCAATGTATAGAAGAAAGATATACAAAATAAAGTAAAATCTACTTGTAGATCATTTTTTCTTCTGATTCCAATGATTGAAAGGCAGTTTTCAACTATGCATTATATAATTCCCCTGGTCACTTCACACATGACACACTGAAATACATAGAATATTTAGCTTCATAAACTTTAAATTCATACAATTTATTTTGTCTTATTCATTTTGACTAAAGTTTAAAAATCATCAATCAGAAATGTAGGGCTGCTTTATGGCAAAGACACAATCTAACCAAAAAGACTAAGACATTTATAGAAATTGTATTAGCTACAAATTTTTACAATGTGTCCATCATTCCAGTTGAAGTATATTAAAATGTTCTAATGGGTAACTGCAATCTGTGCTACACCTTTTAGAGAAAGTTTTGGGAAATACATTTGTATTTTTACTAAATGTTTAGCAACATACTTACATTTATTTTCATATGTTAGATAATTTGAGTAAATCCAGTAGCTTCTACAATTGAGATGCAATTTTATCCCAAATATACTCTAACCAAACAAAAACCAGATAAATGCTTCACTGGAATAAACCCCAAGAATGTTCATTCAGGCAGAACATGGTAATCATAAATACATATTTGTGTGCATACGTACGGTTGTATTTATCTGAGAAATAAAAATATGGGCTACTAAATCACTGCAAAAGCCTATAGGACATTCTTTGTAACTCAACAGTATGTATCACGGTTTATAATTTAGTTTATCTGGGGATGTACACAGTAAGTATCTGTTGTGCATAAGAAGGGCAGAAAAAAAGCTCATAGGCTCTTAGACTGATGAATACTAAGACCCTAGATAATTGTACAGGTTCTAGTCAAGTGTGAACAGAAAGCACAGGAAAATAAGGCTATCTGAAGGCTGTAGGTGTGTTTGTCCAAAGAGTTAATTGCTGAATTAGAATCACATTTTAATACACACTACTCAGAATTCTTCAAGCTTCTTAGAAATTACAGGGATTGGTTTTATTCTTAAAAGTGTGTCATGGTATATATTGACTCCCACCTGTTAGAGGCGAAGAATAAGGAATGTTTTAGCCGATGCTTTAACTCATACTTGATCAGGTTACGTCACTACACTTACAAGATTTTATTCAAAGCATTGCAGCTTCACATTTCCCCCTCCAAAAATATTCTTTACACACACACACACACATACACACACACATACGTATATATACACACACACATACATATATGCACATATATATGTATATGTATATATTCTTCAAACCATAAATAAAATAAGTAATTTTCAGGTAACAAGAAAAAGTATAAAAATAAGTGGACTAGAAACAAAGGATCTATTTCTCAGTGCACCCTTTCCAACACACTGAAAATAAAACTACATTCAAATGAAAAGGCATTTAATTTGCTATTTGGAATATCCTGGTTAAACATCAATTTTCTATAACACCCCTACATATACAACAGTACCTCATGTATAATGCAGAAAAGCGCTTTCATTTTCATCTATTGACAGGGTATTTAATTTGCCATTGCATCTCTTCCTAGAACTATCACGTTATTAATTCTGCAATCAAGCTCTTTTGAGTGCTTTTATTTAAACTAAGTATTTGCACAATTCCACGCTGATTTTTTTTTATTTTTATTTATTTTTTTTTTTAGTATCATATACCTGTTCAATGCACCAACATGAATATGGTAAACTTCCCAACTCCATCAGGAAAGTTTCCAAGACAAGAAGAGGCATTGGCAAACTTTAGAGGGCCAGAGTATCTAACAGGTTACAGGTCAGTTTACTAAATAGCATTTTCCCAAAAAGTACTGTGTTCAACAGTCCAAAAATCTTCTCCAATCAATGGGCAGTTTATACCACAAATGATTAGCTGTGAAAAAGTCCTCCAAGGGTTGAGCCTCTGTCCATACCAGTGTCTGCTGTACTAAAGAGCTCTTGGTGAATTACATCTCTGAAACAAAACTGCTTTCTTTTCCATCAGGAAATAAATAAATAAATAAATAAATAAATAAATAAATAAATAAATACCTAAGCAGTACAGCTCGCCTCAACACGGAATTAATATTTCTATAGTCATCAAACTAAAACAACCTCCAAAAATTCCAGGAAACTAGATCTAAGTGAAGCAAATCATCTAACATTATTTCATCTGGGGTTGTACTACTCCACTGTGATGCCACTACTTAAAATACATACATCCAGTAACAGAACCAAGGAGGAAAAAAAGGGGGGGGTTGAACATGAAGAACTGTGTGACACAAAGGAAGGGAGCCCAAAAGTAAAACACAACAAAGCAGAAAGACAAAAAGCAAAATCAAACCACATATCAGCCTAGGAAACCTGCCATAATCTAGCAGGTTACTGTACCACACTGTAAAGTATTTCAATCAAATATGGCTCTTAACACAAATTCTAACACTATTTCACCTCTTGCGTGGCAGTATACAAAATTTCTTCTCCCAATTACATTACTGGAGTATTTTAAATTTCTGAAGAGACAGCACTTGTCCTCTTTACTTCATCCAAGGCCAACAAACAAAGCAATGAAGCAGAAAGAGGTACATAATGAATTCAGAAGTAAATGGTCCATTCTTTAAGAACCCTCCCTACCCCCTCCTCTGAATTCACTCTAAACTAATTGTCATTACAATGATGTCTGTAAACTTCAGAAGAACCACATTCCCTCATGCCAACTGTCCAGGATTCTATCTCTAATTTTCAAGTTTTGTGCTAACAATTAGCATTTCAAAACACCCAGAGAATTGTATCACAATTAGTCTAAATCACATACACAGTGTATCAATTAATGAAGAAAAAAACCATGAACAACAATGGAAATAAGCTGAAAAATTTTCCACAATGTATGCTAATGTAGTAAACATTCAAATCTCTACCATTTAAAATTTTCTTTTAGACAACACACAACACATGTAGATATTCCATGTTTTTCCTTGGGGATTCATCAAACAATTTCTCCACCATTTCACCTACCTGGATAAAAATCTTTGGACTTAGACAGCTTGATAGTGGCTCCAGTTTCCTTTTGCAATTGAACAATTGTCTGTCCTCCCTTCCCAATTATAGATCCAGCAGCATAACTAGGTATGAGAACCTTTAAAAAGTACTGGCCGTCTTCTGAAAAATGTAAAGAAATACATTTGATTAACATGATAATTTTAAACTTGGAATCCCCAATCCACCCCCCAAGAGAGAAAACAGCAAATAGAGCAATGGGCATAGAGCTGCAGAAAACAGCAGTTAAAAATGCATAAGGAACGAAAAACACCAATTACACTGAAAAGCGAATATTTACAAAATCCTTCCCAGTTTTTAGGATTCACATGTTCTAACAATTTGCAGCACTGTAGAAACTGATGACAAAATTCCAGTTGTTACTCCAAACCTGAAAGTCTTCCAATTCTGTGGTTACTATGGCAAAATGAAAGAAACTGACCCTTTAACAAAACTTTAGAGATTTAGAAGATGACAAACCTTCACTTAACATACTGACGATGAAAAATATCCAACACGGTAAATAGTGATCCGCTAAATTTTTCTGGCATAGCATGCAAAAAAGACTACAATTAATCATTGACTATATCCGACTAGGTATACAAAACAACCATCTTCCTGCAGAATAGTCCACCCAAACTGTAGGGTTTATTCTAAGCCTTGAGAAACTGCGGGGGTGGAGGGGGGGAGCCTCCATGGGGTGGACTGAGAATTTAAGTAATCCTGATGTATTTCTGTAGCACTTCTAAGTCTACTATGATCTCGTCTAAGCTCATTAATTAAAAGACCTTAAGAAGAATCTTGCCAATACTAAAAAGCTTAGGAGTTATTTATCCTAAATGCACTCCAAAGTGACCAAAGAGACAGTGCTCCCTCTCCAAAAGAACCATAAAACGGAGAGAGGGGTCGATGAGCCATGAAAAGGAAAAAATGAAATGTTTCAGAAAATAAAGCCAACTCCATAAACTTTAGTTTCCGTCAACCTCATCACGTCTTAAATAGGAAACTTCCCGGTAAATCCAGCTCTTTACTGTGAACGAGTATTCCGAATTCTGCGATGTGCCACTCACAAGACCCCCATCCATTTCTAATGTATACGTTGGAGATAAATTCACCTCTGCTTCGATGCATTGGATGCATTGTTAAGATGACTCCAGTGCAAATGAAGAAGCGATAGCGGTCCCGTTATAACTCATCTTCCGAGGAAGCGCAGGATGTTAACTAACAAGTCACCGTACCAGACACCCCCCTGTATGCATACCCTTGAAGACAAATCAATGCGATATTTGTACCGACCATGTAAGTGCGCTCAGGGCATGCACTCATCAAGATTTTTGCATACTACTTGTGGCCCAGAGCAAGGGGATGGACAGAGGCAAAAGTCTCCGGTGCCCCCAGCATCTGCAAGCCGCTACCCAAGTGCCATTTATTTATTTATTTGATCAGACTGTTAAATGCAGCGCGCATCTTCAGGCGGCCATCACCTCTCACGGGGGGCGGCCTCGGGAGCGGACCCTGTCGCCTGGGCCAGCACCGGCTGGGGCGAGCGGGTCGACTCGGAACCCCGGGTCGCCATCTTGATGAGACGGGGCCGGGGCAGGTGCAGGGGAGGGGGCGCGGGACGGCCGGCGGCGGCGGCCACGGCGCGGGAGGGCGGCGGGGACGGGGCGGGAGGCGGAAGCGATACCCACCGCCCGTGTTGGTCCTCTTGGTGCTGCCGGCTTCAGGGGGCGCTTCTAGCGGCCTTTTCCGCGAGTCCGGCGGGTCCAGATCTATGGGAACCCCCGTATGGGTCCCGTTCTGCTGGATGGGAGCTGCCGCCATCATGCTTGCAGTTCCTGCCGCTGCACCGGGAGAAGCGGCTCCCTTTTGTTTTGGCTTTTTTTTTTTTTCCCTTTCCTTCTTTCTTTCTTTCTTTTTTTTTTCTTTTTTTTTTTCCTTTCTTTCTCTTTTTGCGTTTGGGGTTGCTAAGGTTTTTTTTTTTTTTTTTCCTTTAATCGGATCAATAGCAGTCTGAGGCGGCGAGCAGTGTGGCTGATGTGCTCACTGGGGAGGGGGCAGGGCGCGGAGCAGCTGCAGTGCAGTGTCGGCTAGGAGCGGGAATGGAGGGGGTGTGGGAGCCGGAGGGTGAAGAAGGAGAAGAAAGCGGCGGCGGGCAGAGCGGGAGTGAATGAGCGGAGGAGGCGCGGGCGGCCGGGAGGAGGGCGAGTGAATGAGCGGGAGGAGGAGCGGCGGCGGGCGGCCGGAGCGGCGGACCCGGCTAACGCGGCGCTCGCTCCCGCTGCTGCCGCCGCCGCCGCTGCTTGGGCGCGTGTGCCGCCTGCGCTGCTCCGCGCCGCTGCCGCCCGCCCGCGCTCATCGTGTCTCCCGCGCGTGGGGGGCGGCGGGCGGGCGGGGGCCGCGAGGGGCCGCGACTCCCACACGCGCCGCGCGGGGCCGGCCTCCGCGCCGGAGTCTCCGCCTGCGGGGCCGCGGGCGCGCGCGGGGCGGCGGGGGCGCGCGCGCGGGACGGGGGCGGGGGGGGGGGGAGAGGGGGAGCTGGCGGGGGCGCGGAGCCGGCCGGGGCGCTCCCGCGGGGAGGCGGGGGTGAAAGGTCGCGGGGCCCAGGCAACTCGGCTCCGGCAAACGTCAGCGGCTTGCCGCGGAAACCGAGGGGGTCCACAGAACGCGCTAGGCGGGGAGGCGGGGTCGTGCGGGGAGTGACGGCCGCAGCAGCCAATGGGCGGCGAGAGAGGGAGGCGGGCGGGATCCTGGTCCAGGCTGGGACCCGGTGGTGACAGTTTGGGTTAGTCCGGGAAGGGCGTCCGAGTGACCGCGGGGAGGGGTGGGAGGCTGGGGCAGGAGAGCAGAAGCCCAGCTGGCACCCGGAGAGTTGGGCACAAGGCATTCATTAGCATCTCCGGGAGGCGGTTTTCTCGGAGAGATGTCATCCGAGGATTTCTTTCTCGCACCGTAGGACACTGTAGGGGGACTCGCTGTGTGTCTTGGTGCCCAATGTGGATTCGGAGCGAGCCAGGATATAAATAAATAAAGCGAGATGTGGTGTCCACACAGACTTGGGAGGCAAACCAAAGAGGCAACAGCTGAGGGTGTGCGCAGCTTCACACCGTACTGAAAGCAGGCTTCTGGGAACGCACGGTGTGCATAGCTTCGGACGGTTTCAGGAACCTAAGCCTCAGCTCTTACACAGTCGGGGAGAGGGGGAACGGGGGGGGGGAGATGTAGCTATACTAGTATCCACAATCTTAGAAGTTATCTAACCAAGCCCTTTCTTTTATGGGTGGGGAAGGAGACTCCGGGGATATTTTGTTCAAGGTCATGCATCAAACTAGTACTTTAGGTCCTGATGATAGGAATCCGGGTCATGGGAAAAGCCAAAGTCTCTGAGAAACTGATTTCAACCCCACCCAAGCTGTCCTGACAGTGTGTCACGGGAAAAAATCCTTAACATGTTATCATTTATTAAATGTTTGCCACTTGACAGGCTATCCATTGCATTCGGAACAGTCTGTAGTAGTACTGTCCCGTTTTGTGAGGCAGTTTCGTTTTTGAGTAGGTTAGTAATTTATTCAAAGTCACCTAGTATTAATAATCAGTATCCTACTAATTCAATCTCGGGTCTTTAAGTGGCCAATTTTGACCACTGATTATTGTACTTTAGAACCTCGGGTTATTTCCTGCTTAAAATAAGGATTGAAACTGGACTCCCATAATTCTTAGACACCATACATGTGGTATTATGTTCTTAGATGTATAATATATTCACCAGATTTCTAGAATGAAGGTGTCCTTTATGATCTTCTCCCAGAGAACAACGCTTAAAAGACGGCTAAGCTAACATAAAAGGGACTCCAGTGTGATATGTGGTATTCTAACAAAGAATGTGCTGCGTCTGGTGCAGGCAGGAGAAAAATCAATCACATTGAAAGGAGGAATGGAAAAGAATATTAAACCTACTCCTGACTCACTGTCGGAAGCACTGTGGAGGAGGCATGGGGATTTCAAGTGCGTTTGCAGTGATGCAAGTGATGAAGGAGGGAAAGTGCAATAACTAGTGTGAGGCTTCTGCTTCATCAGAAGTGTGAGAAACGCCATTTGTCTCCATTGAAAATAATAAAGAAGGATTGCCGGCCGAAAGACAGGGAAGGCATATGTTAGTGTATGTTGACAATGGTGTATGACCAAAATTCCAGAATTGTAGGAAAAAAAAATACTTGATATGCTTTTATGACCAAAAGAGAGTGTTTATACGCAAAACTGGATAAAATTGTGGAGCTAGGGTGAAGAAAAACAGTGTTTGGAATTAAGTATTTGGTAGTCAAGACAACAAAAGTCAGTTGCCAGCTATTATGCAATCAAGTGTCCCATGATGTGTGCAGAAATATGTGAGGACATTTTTAAATGGAAACTTAGAAGAGATCTGGTATTTGGCATTAGCTTGTTTTGAAACAGTGAAGGGAAGCAAGGATAGCTCTAGATATCTTGAACCATCTCAGCACCTACAGTAGAGTGGAACACAGACCTCAGGAAAGCGTACAATTGGAAATATCAGAAATTAACAGAATTCTAAAACTAAAAGATTTCTGCATTGGTTTATAAAGTATTTATTATTGCCACGTGAAAGTGGGCCATCTAAGTTTATATGTACTTGCTGTGATAAAACACCAGAAGCAAAGCAACTTGAGGATGAAAGGGTTTATTGGCTTACACTTCCACATCATCTCATTTCATCAGGAAAGAAGTCATGACAGGATCTCAACAGTACTGGAACTTGGAGACAAGAATAGATGCATTGGCCACCGAGAGAAATCTCCTTACTGACTTACTTCCCCTGACTTCCTCAGCCTGCTTTCTTTTTATACATTTTTTTTATTTTTAAAACAATCTTGTTTTACATATCAATCCCAGTTCCTTCACCCTCCAGTCCTCCTTCCTCCCTCCTATAAGGGATCAAGAAAGTTTGTCACATCATGAGGCAGGACCAAGGCCCTCCCTCCTGTATCTAAGCTGAGCAAGGTATCTCACCATAGGGAATGGGCTGCAACAAGCCAATTCATGCTCGGGATAATAAATACTGATTCCACTGCCAGTGGTCTCACAAACTGCCCAAGCCACCCAAATGTCACCCACATTTGGAGGGCCTAGTTCCTTCTTATGCAGGTTACACTGCTATGGGTCAGAAGTCAGTGAGCTCCCACTTGTTCAGGTCAGTTGTTTCTGTGGGTTTCCCCATCATCATAACCAAGGGCCACCAACCAAGAAATGATACCACTCACAATGGGTTGGGCCCTCCCCTACTGATCATGAATTAAGAAAATGCATTACAGCCAGATCTTATGGAGGAGACATTTTCTCAACTGAAATTCCCTCCTACTGATGACCCAGCTTGTGTCAAGCTGACATAAAACACCATTACACTGCTTATACTTATGGGGATACAGCCAGGCTGCATTCTTATGATAGTCATTTGACCCTTATTGCGTTCTTTGAGTTTATTAAGTGCTGCTTTCACTCAGGAGAAACCAGTCACACAGGTGAGATTTCTAGTATAGACAGTGGGATGATATCCAAATCTGGTTAGGAATAAGGATAATTACTAATTGATGGAGGTTATCACAAGTTTTACCTGCATCACTTTCCTTCTCACTATACATTATGTATTACTGTTTATTAAAAATAATACTTCTCCATCATTCATACTATATATGCCTTTAAAATCCTGTTAAAGTAGAAATAAAATACACATAATACCTATTGTCTGAATGTTGTGTCACTTCATAAAAATTAAAAAAGAATAAATGTTTTCAATTTATTAATACTCAGTATGATATATCTTTTATGCTACAAATAAACTGCAGAAACATCTCAAAAATGTGATAAAGGTATTTGACCTTTTAATTTTCTTAGAGGAAATAAAATTTTATTTTTAATTAACCTAGCAATTGAGACCTGCTCTCTTAATAATGTTTTCTAACATGTTAAGACACAGTAAAAGAAGTATGCTTTTATTGTTAATTAGTTGTGTTGTGAATATAAGTGATTATGACAGAAAAATTTATTAATGTGAAAAACAAAATGTATTTCTTTGTATTGGGAACAGAAAAATAAACCTATTGAGAGTTCCTTGCTTATTTGTTTCAGACTGAATGACAAAGACATCAGAGTATATTAACAATAGCAAGGGCTTATTTAAAAAATACAGATAGTTAATAACATCCACAGACAATAATCATAAACCCACTTACTTGTATTCATGTCTTGACCCTTATAAAAGATCACTATCTAACTAAATATCTCCTCCGCTGACACTGTTGGGAAGTTTTCTGATTCTGCATCCTACTGGAAGTAGATCCTGAGTTAAGGCTTTGCATGCATGTACACTACTTGTAGTATATATTGGAAGTGAGTCAGGGAAGGAAACAAGGCAGTTGAAGGATAAATTACCAAGTGGGTTATTATACTCTTACTAAACTTTCCTCGGTTCCAGCATTTATAAAACAAAACAATGCTACATCTACCCTATAAAACAGAGAAATCTGG